CGAGCCAAATTGCAAGGAAAAAAGCAAAACATGAAGTGCTATGAGCTCTTACGTCTGCCAGCGAGTACATATCCGAATTTTCTACGTAGTGTTGATGACGATTCAAATATTGCAGAATACGTAGTTTAGCCGCATTCTGGAAGAGATACGGAAATCGGAACAGGAAAATCGTAACGTCTTTAGGAACATGGTATTAACAGAAAATTGGTTTACATAAGTTTATGTGGGCCTTTCCGCTGACGTTGAGGCGTACCAGAGGGCTGGGTTTGTGTAGCGCCAGCCGGTTTTCCACCTAATGTGGTCGCCTGCCACCTTCCACAACTGGAGAACGGGCTGGCGTTGCACCGAACTCAGCCCCTTAACACGCCCCGCCATCCGCAGCAGCGATTTTCTCATTTGTGTGCCCCCTCCCTTTCCCTAGTTATGAAACTATAGAAAAGGGTAATGAAGAAAACACAGCGGACCGTCCCCGCCCTTATAACTTTGCATGAGTGGCGCTTTCGAAACCCTCTGGTCGCACAGGGTGGTGCGGTAATCAATCGCTGAGCATATTCCACCAGAACTAGAAAGTCAATAAGAGCGTCACGGCTTGGCGACAATGACCTGACTCCGATCATATTTGAGATGTTTTCAACCGTTTGTTTTTTTTTCTTCACTACTATCCCACTTACCAAGTGATCTAACGATTCTCAGTCTACAACCAGCTAATGACGATCGCCAGCGCTGCTTCTGAGCACACGATCTTTGTTAGTAGTGCACAGAACAAAATAGTCGTCAGCACTCGAAATTATGGACTTTCATACGAGTACAAAAGATTTTCAAGCAGACCCCCTATTCCATATTCATATTGGTGGCGCCTGAAGTTTTAACACCCGGGATGTCTGTCATTCGGTAAGTGAGCTGTGCAGCGACTGCACTAAAAGCTTCAAACAAAATGACAAAAATGGTAGGACTCGAGAAAATCTCTATGTAAGGTAACTCACCCGACAGCTGACAAAATAACATTTCATCAATAAAAAGTTCCGTCGCAGTTGCTGCACCCTTCGCAGTTCCTGGAAAGTACTTGACATAAACCAAAGAACTCATAGTAGGTCAGAGAGGTACCTTGTGGTATTTAGTAAGGGATGAATGTGCCTCAGACAAGTCAATTAATGGTCTATTATCCACAATAGCCAATAACTGCTTTGCGGCACGACAAACCGGCCGTGGTCTTGCGTCCATATTGTGAATAATTCTTAAAACAAATTATCACAAAAATGCTAGGAATCATTTGAAAAAAATTTATACAAAGTTCGCATTTCTACTAAGTTCGCATTCAACCAACCTTGCTGGGATTGACCAGGTATCACCCCAGTGACAATTCGAACAAAACAACATTCCGGTATATTCACAGAGACGAGGCTGCATATTGGCACAGCCCTCTGAAAGAAATTCGATTCAGCCTTCCGCTTCACAACCGCACGCTCACAATCGAACACTCCTATACATCTTACTTTGATAGCCATAAAACTCAACGTCTACAATAGTGCGTTTATAGTTTGCGTCTGCGTTTTGGGCGTATGGCGGCCAGGTCAAAACCCATACTTTCCTAATCGTTCAAAACCCCAACGCAAAATATGAACGCACCCTAAAGAATAGGAAATTAGATTTCAGAACTTACCGTAAGCTAGCGGAGTCTCACATTCGGCACAAGCGTAGTCCTGCGCACATAGGCCCCTTTCCTCGCAGATGGCCAACGCCAGCCGGAAATCTCGACGAGAGGCGACAACACCCGCACATACTCGATGCACCTCAGTTGCACACTTGTCGTGGGCTCGCATACCGCATGCTGCAATAATTTAGCTATATGTACCCGATTCTAAGCTATTTTGAAGACGCACTCTGTAAGATTTGAATGGATGGAGAAATGGGGGCAGACTCGCAACCATTATGCCATCCTCACTAGTGCACTGGCCCTCATAGATTCCTCCTAGGCAGTAAGGGAGGGAAGACCAGGGAGAAAGGCATGATCATTGAGTCTCCGCCCATCTAAGCGCCCATATGGATACCGTAAAATGTGCCTTCGAGCCTGAAATGTGGAGCGAATAACTTCAAAACTTCACCTTTACATCGTCGCCATGACTGGACCATTCGCCAGATTGTACTCATACATACTTCGCAATAAGGGTTACGACGGCCAGAGCTACGTTGGAGAGCAAACTCATGGCCAAGCATTTTGATTACCGTATCTTCACCATTCGCACCATTTTCCTAAAACGGGTTCAGCGATGACGGATAAATGGGAACAGGAAACGCTCTAAAGTCGCTCGATCATGCGATTGGCTATATGAAACATTTTTTCTTGAATGTACAGAATTAAATACATACTTGTTAGCTGCGGATGCTGGGATGTGTAAGAGGGCTGTTTTGGCGCGATGCCAGCCCGTTTGCCACCAATTGTGATCGCTTGCCAGCTTCCATAATCGGTGAAAAATGGGCTGGAGCCGGGCCAAATCCACTTCCTGACACCTTTCACCCAGGGCACATCATTAGTAAGGGGCTTTGGTCGAGTCCACCG